GTGAGAACAGCCTGGGTTGTCAACAGAGGGCTGTTCAGAGAGACAGACAGGAGAGTGAAAGAAGGCTGGCTATTGTTCAATATGTGGTATAGGCTGCAAGAATGCCTTGAGAATGCAGCGCCCACATGTCAAGCAGAGAGAGAGGGCTTTGTGTGAGAACTCTGAGGCAGAATGTCAATCATGTGAATAACCTCAATCTCGTTTTTTTATCTTGGTCCTTGTTATGACACTTCCCTGCCTGGAGTCCACAAGGATAGGTGTCAATTTCATGGAACATGCTGGTGTCTAATCCAAGCTGTCCACGTAGTGCGTGCAGGGAACTGACCTGCCATGAGGTGAGAAAGAGTGTTGGAAGCATCCCACCTTTCCTGTGTGCTCTGCTTTGTGCCACTCTGACACAGCCTTCAGCATCCTTTATGAACAGGTAACACACGAGCACCCTGCTTTGCTTTGGCTTTTCCTAAAACAGGAATGCCTTTCTCATTCTTCGGAACAATGTGCAATGATTTGGAGCATTCATAACTGGAGGAGGAAAACATTGGGTAATAGAAAGGAAAAGCTACACACTCATGCAAATGTAAAACCCTTGCTTGATCTGACAATGGTGCACATTGTGTCTGGGTGCAATGATGTCAGAGCACTGTTATGAAATTCCTCAAAATCCTGAGCGAAACAGAGGCAACATGCCTGGAAAGGACCCATCGGTGATTAAAATAATTTTAGTCTTTAAGAAAATTAATGCTTGAAACAGAAGCTTGCTGGGCTGAGAATAACATACCTGTTGTGACCTGAATCAGAGCTGAAGTCTCCCTCCTCATGGGTTGGTGCTACTTCATGGTGCTTAAGGCAGACCCACCTTTGAGGTAACACTGTTTTGCTCACCAGCAATGGGAAGAGATCCCATACTGATAAAATCCTCCTCCCTGAGAGAGGCTGGGCTAGGGTTTAGTGAGCCAACATAATTCAGGGATCATAATAGGTCTATTTCCGTGGAGTTTACGGTCAAGAGGAGCAAATTTGCTCAGGCACCCAGAAGTGAGAGCTGTCACGTGAATATGCAGGAGGGAAGTGGTCCTGGGCAGCACAGGGTACAGTCCTACACCACCAAAGTCAAAGAGAACTTTCCCAAAAAGTTAAGAGAGCATAAATAATGTGGATTTTGGGATAAACCATGTTACTTCACTGGCCTCCACCATAGTTTATTTGGTATAGTGAATGAACGAAAGGCCATATAAAAATCTGTTTGTTGAAACTGGTGTAGCTCTTGTCAGTTCAATAGGGCTGTGCTGATTTGTACCAGCTAAAGATTTATTTTCATCACCTCAGGTTTCTTCTTCACTTTTATAGCAACTGTAGCTGTATAGCACTTAATAACAGCACCTTATTATGTTATAGTTTTCCATGATTCATGTAAGTGCACATAACCACTTGTATTTAGGGCTTAAATGCTGTGCAGATAATCGTCTTGATTGTAGAAGCAAATTTTATTTATGCATAAAAATATTGTTTATTTGGCCAAAACTAGCTATTTCCAAAGTGTGCCAGAACACAGAAACCTACAGGATGGATGTACCATTGGAAACTGCCAGTAACTAGGGAAAACCATGTATTGTTCCACAAAATCTTAAAATCTGTTTTTCAGAGTAACCCATGAAAAATATTCTGTTTCATTCTAGAGGGTAAAACCATTTTGATAAAAATTTTGCATCTCTTTTATTTTGGTTTCAAAAATTATATTTCCCCCCCCCCATTAAAACACAATTCAGAATACATTTTAATACGAAATCCTATAAATCTCACTGAAAAATGTTGTTACAATTCCTTGGGGAAGAGGGAAGGGTTGTTTCTTTTGCATTTATCTTGTATTGTGAGAGCGTGAAAAGGAAAAATTCTCCTAATAGCTATAATTTTGTCAAAAGCTATTTTAGAAAGAAATGTGATTTGACCGAGATAGCGGCCAATTCTTGGGTTAGATTCTTTAGCAGTGCACAAAGCAAAAACTCTAGCTGGGGTTCCAAACTACAACTACCAAAACTCTCTGATGACTAACTCTTCCTGGCTGTGCTTCATGCTGGCTTGGAAAGAACAAGGCGACTTTTTGTCTAAGCCTGTACCAAAGTTATATAAAAGTCTGTGAAAAAGGTTGTGCAGATCCATCCACAAGCATCTGTCTTTTGCACATGCCTGTGATGTTTTTGCTCGTGGCTTTTGAGGAGAGCTAATCTAAAGTTTAATTAAATCATTGAGCTTTACTCCAGCCATACTTTTTTCCCCTCCCCTAGCTGGCTGTTTTTTTTGTGCGGGAATTTGCTGCGGTCCCAAAAGAAAAATTAATAACACTTCCTATCCTGAGCACAGAGTGATCTGATGGTGCATGTTATCACTGGACATTGAGGAAAAATGTCCATCATCTACTCTGGCCGATATGGTGGAGAGCTGGCATCCCCTTGCCCTGAGTCAGGCTGTGACAAGAGAGGTTGGTGTTAATTAAAATTAATGTGATAATACCCATGCCTCCAAAACACCATGCAGGCCATTTGTGCATATTTAGCAAGTTCTTCAACCCTGAAATGAAACCCATATGACAAACATAACAGCTGAAATACAGGCAGCAGTGAGCACATCCAATTTTTCTGTAGGAATCTGGACCCACCAACCCATGGACTCAGGAAAAGTATGAGGAAGAGCTAAATGAAAATTCTCTTCTTGCTCAGAAGACATTCTGCCTTCCCGTTCCTGCTCCCTCACTTCCATCAGACAATGACCTTTCATGGAGCTTAATCCCTGCTAGCACCACCCTCATCCCACGTTCCTCCCTTGTTCTTCATTAAGCTCCACTTCATGTATTTCCAGTCACTTCTGACTGGAAATGTCACACTCCCAACTGCCAGAAATGCTCCCAGTCCTTTCCTGTGCTGGCCTCAGCTGCTGCATGGTCCAGCTCCCCCTCAGTTACTATTCCACACTCGAGAAAGGCTGGAACTAGCAGGCAGTTCCAACAACAGCAGGAACACC